GCGGTGTTAATGCCCCAAAATCACCAAACGGGGTCGGATTGGCATGAAACTTGGCACACACGACCGCCTAGGCACGTGAGACTTGTGGGAGAAGACGGGGTTCGAATCGGGTTCCCGGTTTGGGAGTTAGAGGCGGATTTCACTTTTGGCAAACTAGTTCCTTTAGAAACTTGAATTCGAGGAGTTAATGCCCCAAAATCACCAAACGGCATCGATTTAGCATGAAACTTGGCACACACGACCGCCTAGGCACGTGAGACTTGTGGGAGAAGACGGGGTTCGAATCGGGTTCCCGGTTTGGGAGTTAGAGGCGGATTTCACTTTTGGCAAACTAGTTCCTTTAGAAACTTGAATTCGAGGAGTTAATGCCCCAAAATCACCAAACGGCATCGATTTAGCATGAAACTTGGCACACACGACCGCCTAGGCACGTGAGACTTGTGGGAGAAGACGGGGTTCGAATCGGGTTCCCGGTTTGGGAGTTAGAGGCGGATTTCACTTTTGGCAAACTAGTTCCTTTAGAAACTTGAATTCGAGGAGTTAATGCCCCAAAATCACCAAACGGCATCGATTTAGCATGAAACTTGGCACACACGACCGCCTAGGCACGTGAGACTTGTGGGAGAAGACGGGGTTCGAATCGGGTTCCCGGTTTGGGAGTTAGAGGCGGATTTCACTTTTGGCAAACTAGTTCCTTTAGAAACTTGAATTCGAGGAGTTAATGCCCCAAAATCACCAAACGGCATCGATTTAGCATGAAACTTGGCACACACGACCGCCTAGGCACGTGAGACTTGTGGGAGAAGACGGGGTTCGAATCGGGTTCCCGGTTTGGGAGTTAGAGGCGGATTTCACTTTTGGCAAACTAGTTCCTTTAGAAACTTGAATTCGAGGAGTTAATGCCCCAAAATCACCAAACGGCATCGATTTAGCATGAAACTTGGCACACACGACCGCCTAGGCACGTGAGACTTGTGGGAGAAGACGGGGTTCGAATCGGGTTCCCGGTTTGGGAGTTAGAGGCGGATTTCACTTTTGGCAAACTAGTTCCTTAAGACACTTGAATTCGAGGAGTTAATGCCCCAAAATCACCAAACGGCATCGATTTAGCATGAAACTTGGCACACACGACCGCCTAGGCACGAGAGACTTGTGGGAGAAGACGGGGCTCGAATCGGGTTCCCGGTTTGGGAGTTAGAGTCGGATTTCACTTTGGGCAAACTAGTTCCTCTAGTCAAAATTATTCACTAAACTATCTTTCTAATTATATGGTAGTTAATTTTTTTATATTTTTCTGCAATTAAAATATTAACACCATTATATTGTTATTAATTATTTTTATTTTGTTTTTTTCAGATATTTCCTGAGTAGCAGTTTGCTTCGTGTGGAATGTCGGCGCGTAAAGATTATGACCAACTTCTGTTTTTGTAACTCACGAAAGAATCAAGACGAAAACTTTTGGTTTTGATTTTGATTTATGTTATTTAAATTTGTGACCAACATTATGTATGTATTATGTGACCAACATTAGGAATTTTTATCATTTGCCAACTTTTGTTTATGTATGGATTTATATTATTATGTAATTTTTTGATTTTTTTTTAGCTATTTTTCACTTGCCAACATTAGTTATTTTATTTATGTATTTATATTATTATGTCATTTGCCAACATTACAGGTTATTTTTATATTTTAAATAATTGTAAAACAGGGGGTTTTTTTTATTTTTTTTTGAGACGGCAGAACAACCCGTCGCAAAAAAAAAAAAAAAAAAAAAACCAGGCTTTTTGCGACGGCAGCCATACCGTCGCAAAAGGTGTGGAATTTATTTGAAAAACAAGGCTTTAGCGATGGTGCAATTGCCGTCGCCAATAGTCATTAACGCCGACATTTTTTGCGACGACATTTTTTGCGACGGAATTTTGCCGTCGCAAATATCTATTTTAGCGACAGAAAGCTTGTGCCGTCGCAAAAAAACCCAGATCTTCATCCATAATCGGCGACAGAAATTTGCCGTCGCAAAAAAGGGATATTCCCGTCGCAAAAACAATGGCGACGGCAAGTGTCGTCGCTAAAGGTCTTTTGCAACCCCCCTTGTTGCGACCCCCACTTGCCGTCGCAAAAAGAAAAAATACCATTGCAAATAGCTTTTGAGACAGCGTTTGGATTATTTGCGATGGCGTTTTGCTGTCGCAAAAAATAATTTTTTTTGTAGTGTGGGGTAGTTGCTTAGGGCAAGAACTAGCTAATTTTATAAATCTAAAAATAAAAATAAAATATGTGTTCAATGATTTATAATTAATAAGAGTACAATGATATAAAATGATAAATAAATGAGTTAAAATAAAAATTAAGTTAATATTGTAATTTTATTATACTAAAAAAATTAAATTATATATATTTAATAAATAAAATTGGGGTGGGGGTTAGGGTTAGGGAGCAAAAACAATTTTTACTCCACTTTCTTAGGGGGGGATGAAAAACCCCACAAGGTGGGGGATACGGGTTGGGTGGAAGAAAATTGTTAAGCTATTTATTGATTTAGTTGGTACAAATTGTTACAGTATTTATTTTTTTATTTTTTTACATATATTTTGTAAGAATTTAATAAGCCAAAATAAGCAACCTTAAGCAACCCAGACCACCCCTTAGCCTCCATTTATAATAAGTTTAAAATTTTCATATTAAACTAGTAGTTTTGAATTGATTAAAAAAAATATTGAGTATTTTTAGTTTTTTAGCCGTAGAGGTGATCATGGATCTGTTCATTTTGCTCAATTCGATCGAATCAACCGAACACGATTGATTTTGGGTGGATGAGTGTCTTTTAGCAGACTGATGCGAATGAAATATTTTAAAATCTGTCAATGCGGTTTAGATGACAAAGCAACCATCTAACAGCTACATAAACCCGATTTGCCCGTAAATGAAGGTGAAAAAAAGAAAAAAAACTACTAACAAGTAACAACATAGTGTAGAAAGAATAAAATATATATTATTATGAAAATAGAAAATATTATCTTAAAAATATACATGTGTGGTGCCATGGCTTATTACAGATAAATAATATATATTTTTTCAGATTACTAGTTATTGGAGATTGTAAAAATTATAAATTATAATTTTTAAAAATGCTCAAAATTTGTAAAGTCTAAATAGCCAAACCTATTGCATCCATTTATCCATTTGTATGGCTCACTTAATTTGCATCCACTAAACAGATGAACGGATATGAATTGATTTTTTTCAATCTGCTCAATTTTAAATGAATGACGGATGAGATGCCACCCAATTTACGATCACCCCTAGTTGGCCGCTTACTTTGGCACGTGTCATTATAGCATTTGGGGAATTATATAACTAAAGTCATGCTTGTTTGGTTGATTCGTGAGGCTTATTTTGAAAAGTTGATTAAAAATCACTTCTTAACTTTTAATTCATTTTCTCTCTCAAAAAAGAAAGTCAAAAAATAAAAAAAAATTAAAAATCAACTTTTAACTATCTTCTTAAAAAATTCCAGTGTGGCTGAATTATGTAGGAAGTAGACTCTTGACAAAGCTTGTTTGATTGGATTGTGAACCCCAGGATTGTCATCCGAATGGACTATTAATTCTACGGTGGGATTACGTATCCTCTTAGAGAAGGATTGAAAAATCAATTCGATATAAAAGCTTTGTCTTTTTGTTAAATTTATAAGTAATTATTGGGCTAGATGTTATTTAGAACAAATTTGATAAAAATTTTAAATTAGACAATGGATCGAATGATTGGCCGACAACCATCCAAATTTGCCGAAACTACTTAAAATACATTATATAATATCAAATATTTACTAAAATTTAATATTTAATGAAAAAGATGATGTAACTTTGGAGATACGTTTACACGAGACCATTTGAAACGTGCATTATCAATTATGGCCTCTTTTGACTATTTAAGTCTAGTTGGAAGAGATTAATTTAGTAATTTTTTAATTATTTGACTAAAATATGAGTAGTTTTAACTTTTTATGAAAAGATATACAAAAAGTAGAGAGAAAAGAGAATTTTTGACTTTTTAGTATGGATTGTTAGTTTTTTTGGCTTTTTTATTAATTTTTTGACTTGTTAGCTAAACCGGTCGCTTCCCAAATGAGACCTTAGTCTTTAGTCACTTTTTTAAGTTTATAGCAAAAGTTAAAAGTTGGTTTTTTTTAAGTTTAAAGACATTTGGGAAGTTAGTTTTTAACTAATGGTAAAATTATAATTTTACCTCTCATGGGTCAAGATGTGCTACATAGGTAAAGTTGTAAATATTTTAAATTGAATGAAAATAGTTTAATCATTTTATTATGATTTGACATCATAAATAAATATTAATTAAAAAATAAAAAGTAAATTTTACTAACTTCCCAAAACACTTATATAAAAAAATCAAAAATTTAATTAAAAATCAAAAAAATCACTTTTTACCATCTTTACAAAACAACTGCGTTCCACGTAAAATCAAACATATAGAAGAACTGTAATCGCTTTTCTCAGAATTTCTCTTTTGCTTTCCCATCCCACCATACCATTCGAGAGAGAGAGAGAGAGAGAAAATGAAGGAGGCGAGTCTCATGGTATTGTTGTTATCTGCACTCCTACTACACTCAATCGCTGATGATGGAGCTTTCGACGTTCGCCAGCATGTCTCCACTGTTACGAGGTTCTCTCCCTTTCTCTCTCTTAATTATTTTCACCTGCATCGCATGTTGGACGATCGAATCGAACGCTATAATCACATTTAGGGTTTAGGCCTTGGTTGCGGTGAAATCTGGCGAATCAATTTAAGATCCCGAAAACTCGACGAGCAAAATTTTGAACTCTTTGTTTGGTTACTAAGAAAATTGAGACTACTTCGAAACTTGTATTCGGAAGAATAGATGATTTTTGTTTTCTCGGTCCCCAAATAAATAAAATTTCAAAATAAAAATCCAGCTTATTGTTTTCAACACACAAAAAATAAATAAATAACATAAAATATTGATCAATTTATTTCGGACTCTTTAGTAGTATTTGTTTTACAGGAATTATTGTGTATAAACGTATCCGAAGAAGATAAGAAAACGTCACACTAAACAGTTTTTTTTTTTTTAAACTTATTATTATTTGATTAATGGAAATGTTTGAATGATTACTTGTTTTTATTTATTAAATTCTTTTGGCTTGGCAGGTATGGTGTTGTGAAGGACATATCTGACAATTCGTTTGTACCTTCTAACATTCCAGACCAATGTTCTCCTATCCATTTGAATCTTGTGGTAATTCTCATTTACAACTTCAAACTGTTTATGCATATAGTTTATGTGATTGTATATTTTGACTTTGTGCTTATCCAGGTCAATTGAAAAGTAGTTTTTTTTTTTTTTTTTTGATAAATAAAATTTATTGAAGAAAGAGCATCAAGAAGATGCTAAAGAATACAATATAGGAAATCAAAAAGACACAAATATCCAATCACATCATCAAGGAAATCTATCAAGGAAATCTAAAAACGTAAATAAATCAGGATCCACATGCCCTGACACCTAACCACACAAAACACGCAAAAATCTATCTTCTAACCAAAAATCAATTGAAATTAGTTATAGCAACATGTATCCTATTTTGTTAAGCAATGTGGATTTCATATAATAATGTGGGATGAATTTGTTGGGGATATTTCAACCCGATTCCACTAGGTCAGACCCAGCTCTTATTGTATGCAGATCTTAGTGGATGTATATATAAATTATGGGTTATTTCATGGATTAGGGTTATGAGATTAGTGTAATCTATTGTTACAGTTGAAGTGCGAAAGTATGAAAAACTTAGATTAGGGTTAAAGAGAAAGAGAGAGAATAATAAGAAGCAGCAACTTTGTTATTCAACATATGTTTTTAGGACTGGAGCATCAAAAATATTTATATGAGATACAATCTAGCCATATGACCGCAATGTGCCAATGAGATGATGATGTAGGACGAGTAGGGATTGCTTTCCTACAATTATTGAGCCCAATTTAAGTAAACTGGCAGCAACAATAATAGACTTATTTATAGGGCTGGATTTTGTGAGATTTTGTGGCTACAAAAGTATTTAAAAAAATAGGAGTTTAAGGGTTTGTAAAAAGGTAGGGTTTGGGGAATGAAAACACAAGTGTTTAGGGATAGTTGGCTGGTTGTTTTAAGCACTGTGAACAGTAACCTTGCTCGATAGAAGAAGAAGAAGAGTGAGAGAGAAGTGCTTCACCCTCACAAGGGATAGGCCAATCACACGAACACAATCTCAAATTTTCATAATATTAACTGTGCTATTGAATTATTGAGATTACACATATATTTATATGCTAAAGACTCTCCTAATTCTATAAGGAGTATTTCTCAAATTTAGAAACTAAAAATATTTAGCAACTACTAATATTCTAGACTAACTATGACTTCTAATTTTACTTCAATCATAATAGGAAACTTTAATGACTTCTAATTCTACTTCTATATCAAGATTGGAAATTTAGACTTTTGACCACTAAGATTATTTTAGACATAATAAAACCTATATATAATAACTCATTTAATAACTTGACCTAAAATAAAACCCATGGGTGACCCCTACAACCCATGTCCAACAATTATTGGAATTACCATTATACCCTTAATTACTAAAATCTACTATAATAATATAAAGACTCAAAATTATTCCACATCTTTAATTCTTGATTCCCTAAACATGCTTCATGTGAAATTCCATATTTGCTTTTTTTCTTCTTTCCATGACCTTCATCAGACGACTTGGTGTTCCTTTGGATATTTTGTTGCCATCCTTGGTCTTTTTTTTTTGGGCTGATTACTGCTCATTTTGGTGTTATGGCTGAAATAAAACCTGCTACCCCATTCTCTATGATTAAGGATGATGAGTTACCCAAATCCATTACCACTAAGAAATTAACTGGTTTGAATTATCTTGCTTGGGCCCATGCCATTAAGATTTTCTTGCATGGCAAAAAGTCACGTTTTCTTACTGAACTTCCACCGGCTGAGGATGATAAATGTTATGATGATTGGTTGAGTGAGGATTCCTATGTTATGGGGTGGCTTTGGCGTAGGCTGAGGATGATAAATGTTATGATGATTGGTTGAGTGAGGATTCCTATGTTATGGGGTGGCTTTGGCGTAGTTTGGAGCCTAATGTTGCTACTACAGTGGAATTTTGTGACACCTCTAAGGCCATCTGGGACTCCCTTGTTAGGTCATTTTCCAATCAGAGTAATGTTTCTCGAGTTTATGAGTTGTATAAGCAGATCTTTGCTATTCGGCAGTCTGGCCGTCCTCTTGCTGACTATTATAGTAGGCTTAAGACCTTGTGGGATCAATTATTGCAACACTGACCTTTTACTACTGATTTGGCTCAACAGAAGAAATATTGGGAGTTTATGATGGTATCCTTACTTTTGGGATTAGATTCTGATCTACGAGGTTTCAAAGATCAAATTCTTGCTAGTGAGACTTTACCTTCTACTGCTAATGCCTATTCTCGATTGGTGCGTTCTTCTCTAGGATAAGGTTCTTCCGTAATTGGTTCCTCTCAGCCCTTGTCCTCTTCTACCGTGATATCTAGCAGTGGTGACTGTAGGCCCCATCGGGGTAGTTTTCATGGCAGCTCTAGTCATCGTGGATCCCATATTGGTTCCCGTGGTTCTCGTGGTGGTCATTATTCTCATGGATCACGTGGTGGTGGTGGACGTGGTACTAGTTCTATGTCCCGTGGTGATTGAACGTGTACTCATTGTGGTTCTTTGGGTCATTTTGAACCTCGGTGTTGGCAAAAGTATGGTAAACTTGATCATGTGAAGCAGGTTATGGATACTCCATCCTCTTTGTCAACTCCCTCTCCATCTGGTCCAGGTGCTTCCCCAGCTGATTCTGATGATGCACTTAGCACTCAGATTAGCGAGCATATTGAGATAGTCAATTCTCTCCATACTACTCTTCCTTCATCCTCTACTGCTACATTGGCTAGCTCAGTTAATATTGCATGTATGGCTCAATCCCCCCAACCTTGGCTTCTAGACTCTGGCGCTAGTTTCCATATCTCTGGTAATTCTTCTCTTTTTCATTCTCTTCGTCCAGTTACCCGTAATATTAGACTCGTTGATGGTTCCTCTCGACCTATTAGTGGCCAAGGCACTCTTTAACCCTCTTCATCTCTCTCCTTACCCTCTAGTCTCTATGTTACCTCTATTCCCTTTAATTGCTTTCTGTGAGTAAATTAACTAAAGCTCTAAATTGCTCTGATACCAAGTTGAAGTGCAAAAGTATAAAAAAACTTAGATTAGGGTTAAAGAGAAAGAGAGAAAATAATAAGAAGCAGCAACTTTGTTATTCAACATATCTTTTTAGGACTGGAGCATCAGAAATATTTATATGAGATACAATCTAGCCATATGATACCCTTACTCAACATAAACACACACATTCTAACAGTTACAATCAGCTTTGAGAGAGATATCCACCCTCGTATTTTCTCCTCCTTTCGATAGTAAACCCTCTGCCATTCTTTGCCTATGGACATAGGCTTGTAGCCGAACCACGTATATCTTTGTATGATTGCTTGTCTTACGTTCTTGTTTTCGTTTATTCCATCATATCGGAATTTATTCTAGTTATTCTAGACGTGACAATGAGGTGGGCATACTAATGCTGACATCAATGGGTGTGCTAAACAAAGTCTTTACGTGCTTGATGCTTTGAGAATATATCAATCTTGGGTGTTTGGAAAATAGGTTATGTTTTGTTAAAATTTTCATTCATAGGACCAATGATTGATGCTCAAATCAGATGATGTATCAAAAATATTTTAGTTGTCGTTGATGCTTTGAGAATACTTTTTTTTGATAAATTGATGCTTTGAGAATACTTGAACTGTTTTCTGCCATTGACTAACCAAGAACTTCATAATCTAGAGTTTTGGAACCTCTGGTGGAGAAGCTGCAAAGGACAATTATCTAACAGTTGCATATCAAAGAATCTGACATAAATTTGTTTCATCAGAGAAAAAAACAGTAGAGAAAAAGACTTTTAAGTTTGGATTTCTTGTGATCTTTAACATATTAAAGCTATATTTCAACACTGAATTGTTCTTCATATGGATGTAGAGCCACATAAGTCTTTCCAAATAGGCTGAGACTCATTGTGAATTCCGTGTGTTTGTTAAGAATCACCTTTGATCATTTTCTTTAAGAGCTGTGTTTGTGCATAGCATTTGGAGTTGAGGGGTTTAAATTTGTGAGTGTTGTTTGTAGTAATTCTCAAGTGTATGTGTGTAGTAAGTCTTTTCCGCAAATCTTTTTGAGAGAAAGAAACTAATGCAAAGAACATAGAGATTTCCTCAGAAAGAAAGAAATAAAAAAAAGGCAGAACAAATAAAAAAGGAAAATGCCTCCAGAAAAACTAAAGCAGCCTAACAGTCCCATATTCCTCTAGAGTAAATTAACCATTATACATGGTCATATTGTACAGATTTTTCTTTTTCATCCTGCTTTGAAGGCAAATTTTATGTTTTTTTGGAGCTCGTACGTTTGCTACAATTATCAAGTAGAAGCAAGTGGTCAGTCAAAATGTGCCACTTGTTACAATTGTTTTCTTAGCTAGCATGTATGTTCTGGACATTTTTAAAAATATGTATGTTTATGTTTTGGACACTAGAAAATTGGCACGACTTTGTTGGAAAGCTGAAAATTGTTTGGCTTGTGGTTATGCAATTTGCGAAAACATCTTGTTGCTTGCATATTTTTATCAAGGTTTCTATGGAGTCTTCCAATGCTGCCATTATGGTTTCTATTGTTTGTGCTATGTTCAGCTTGCAATGTTGTGTTATACCAAGTGTTCTATTAAAAGTATACTTTTCATTAGTCAAAATTTTGGTATCCCAGGCGAGGCATGGAACTCGTGCTCCAACCAAGAAAAAGTTAAAAGAGTTAAATGATTTAGCCATGCGTATGGAAGTTCTTCTACAAGACGCAAAAGAGCAGAAGTTGGCTTTGCAGAAAGTTCCTGCCTGGTTTCGAGGATGGAAATCTCCTTGGCAAGGGAAGCTCAAGGGTGGTGAATTAATTAGTGAAGGAGAAGATGAACTGTATAATCTGGGGATCAGAACCAGAGACAAATTTCCACAACTGTTTAACGAGGATTACGACCCGGATGTGTATGCAATAAAGGCAACTCAGGTAGGCCACATTCTACTTTTCCTTCTATTCACTTTTGCAAATGGCTGGCTTTAGTGATGATAATTCATAGGAGGTTTCAGCCAATTGTTCTATCTATTGCCTCATTACCATAAATTCTGTTTGGTCAAGTTACCACTGAAATTTTTTTGATCAATCAAAAGGCTGATTGCATCACACTAACTGTGATATTACATTTTTATGTAAAATTTTCACTTGCTTTTAGGATTCATTATTCTTATACATCTCTTTTTCTTTGCCATGAATCATGAATAGATTCCTCGGGCATCAGCTAGTGCTGTAGCATTTGGCATGGGGCTATTTAGTGGGAGGGGAAATCTTGGACCAGGGCGCCATCGAGCTTTTGCAGTAACCAGCGAAAGCCGTGCAAGTGATATATGGCTAAGATTCCATGATTGTTGTCAGAACTACAAGGTACATGGTACTCTCGGCATAGCTTATACCTAAAGAATTACACGTAGTTACATACATTGACATATTTGCTCTCACTCTTATGTAGTTGAGGTTTGCTTTTTTAATTTTCAATTTGGATGCTTGAACTCTAGTAACTTGTGATATCTATTGAATGCTCATGAAAACATGGAGGCAACTAGGGAAAGGGTTTCCTCGAAAAGAGTTCTTGGTTACTGTATGTGAGATTATCATTTGACACTGACTTGAGTGGTCATACATATGGCCTGATACTATCATCCAGTACATAGCAGAGTACTATTGTCTTTATAATCACAAAACAAAGCTTTTCATTTGATTTTTGTAGCTGCTGAATTCAAATCACATGATAATGGATATTTTAAATCCTTGTCGAAAACCATTGAATTACTTGACTTCCTCCTACTGGTCGTGGTAAAAAAATAGTGGTATTAAACTGCATGCTTGGATGTCGTGGATAAAAGAATATATGTCCCCAAGCTGGTGGCATAAACCCATGGGAATCAGCTTCGTAAGCGAGCCTTGTACTCTGAATACAACATTATTTTTCTATTAAGTTGCATGCTAACACCCACATGTATAAGCTTATTAACAAGTGGGTAATGCATCCATGTTAACAAATTGGGATTGGGAATCTCTCAAAAACCACAACTATATGTTTTTGTTACTTATTTACCTTTAAATGTCTTTTCAGGCTTCTCTTATTATTATGGATGGTTCACCATTAATATATTGGTTTTAACATAGTTATTTGGTGGGTACCTTACTTACCAAATAAATATGTATTTACATTTAGAAGGGAAGTAAACCTTAAGTTTTTGGGTGATTCCTTTTTGTGCTGATCTTTATGCATTTTGTACTAGGAAATTGAAATTAAACTTTGTACGGGTGGATAATAAGCTTAGGGAACCTATATTGGATGAAATTTTATGCATTAGTGAGGCATTATGAGCTGAATTTTACAATACATGATACTTCTTTGGTTTTATCGTGTATATCTCTGAATGCAGGCCTTTAGAAAAAGTCAGGAGCCTGCCGTTCATAAGCTTAAGGAACCTGCCTTGGATGAAATTACGCATGCATTAGTGAGGCGTTACGATCTGAATTTTACAAGACAAGATACATCTTCTCTCTGGTTTTTGTGCAAAAAGGTGATTGTTTCTTTCCTTTCCTTTCCTTTCCTTTCTTCTCTTTCATTTTCTTTCTTTCTCTGAGAATTCTAAACAGTCTATGTGATTGCGATTCCTTTGTAATTGTTCGTTTGAATTTTCAATTTGGCAGGAAGCATCCTTATTGAATATAACTGATCAAGCTTGTGCTCTGTTCACTCCATCTGAGGTATGTAGCTTTGGTACTTACATACCATGGGATCTATTGTTCCTGTATATGTTATGCACTGATAAGTGCAAATTGTGTATGTTATCAGTTCATGCTTTGTTTCTTGCTCATTGTGCACTTGCTAACTTGCCAAATATAAACATTTTTAGGTTGTTTTACTGGAGTGGACAGATGATTTGGAGCTGTTCATATTAAAGGGTTATGGTAATGCATTAAACTACCGGATGGGAGTGCCATTGCTTGAAGATGTTGTTCAGTCCATGGAACAAGCTATTAAGGGTAAAGAAGGTTAGATAAACCACAACAATTTCATATTATTGTCATATTATTTTTCACTGTCTTTGTGGTTATTTGCTATTAATGCTATGGCATGTATTTCAAAACTAGGAGTTAATTCCCACATTGTGGCATCTATTTCAAAACTTATCTGAAAATTAATTGTTTTATAAACTTATAATTGAAATCTTCATGGCTAATGCTGGGGGAAAAAATAAAGGTATCTTCTGTTTCGTTCATAATTTATACCTTCTGTTATTGTAGAAGAACATGCTCCTGGCAGTTATGAAAAGGCAAGACTGCGGTTTGCTCATGCAGAAACTCTGCTTCCATTCTCATGTCTGATTGGGCTCTTTCTTGAAGGATCCGGTGAGTGCTTTTCATTCTCGTATTTCTAAAAAGCAGACACGACACAAACACAGACATGCTGACACGTAAATTTTTAAAAAATGTAGGACACGACACGTGGGGGACACGTACAAAATATATAATTTTATATATTTATTATGTCATATATAAGGATAATAATTATTATATGAATATTTTAGCCAAAGATAATAATTTTAAAAGTCTAAAGGAGGAGAATATGTATAAATTTACATTATTTTCGTTTTATCATTGGATTACAAGTTATTTTATTCAAACTTGTAATATGATTCATGTGTGTCCAAGTGTCCGATGAGTGTTGTGTCGTGTCGGTTTGTGTAGTGTCCATGCTTCTTAGTTATATTTGAATCTCTATATATGATGGCACATGCATGCATTTCTTTTTTTCCTTTAGATTTCTTGTCCCTTTTTTTTTCCCTTTGGATCTGGGGCAAATCATAAATAAGCATTTGATCCAGTATGCCAGCTGTCCCATTGTGTTTCTACTTTACCTGTATGACTTCTGCTTTTATGTTGTCTTCTCAGTAAGCATTATTTGTTGAATATTTCAGATTTTGAAAAAATACAAAAGGAACAACCCTTGCAACTCCCTCCAAAGCCACCTCAGAGAAGAAATTGGAGGGGCAGTGTGGTGACGCCTTTTGGTGGCAATAATATGATGGTACTTTATAGTTGTCCAGCTAAGTCTTCAAGCAAGTACTTTGTGCAAGTACTGCATAATGAACATCCCGTTCCAATGCCAGTAAGCTTTTGTTGACTAAATTCTTGAAATTTCATAGATTCTTATTCCTCATATTTATATATTTATTAATTTTTAGTTTATTTTTCGATTGATGATATTGAAGTAGCCGTCTATCATGACTAGCAATTACAATTATTATTATTATTTGGGTTTTCATTTTTCTTTCAGTTGTATGGGGAGCACCCTATGATGGATTGTAGATGATTTGATTAGAAATAGCTCACTTCCTATTGCATGTTGGCAAAATTTATTTGCAGCTTATTTAGCTTCAAATTTGAAATTTACATTGAAAAGTTACAATGTTGGGTAAAAAATTCAGATTTTCAGCTTATTTGCTTTTTCAGCTCAAAAAGGTAACTTTTTTTAAGCCGCAAATTTGTTTTCCCAAACGGGCTAATATGCATGTATGGACTTTGAAATTTACTGTCTCAATCCTAAGTTATTTTCTCTATTAGTTAATTTTTATAGGGTCTCTAATATTTCAACTTGTGAAACTTGGCATGCCCCATTATGGCTTTCTTTTTATATTTCGAAGCTTTTAATTATGTTTTGTGTTTCCATAAATAGGGCTGTGACAATTCTGATTTCTGTCCATTTGAAGTTTTCAAGGTATTAATGTTTTATTCGCACTTGAGAATTCACTTGCAAAATTGATGACTTCTCTCTTGTTTGTTGAGAAACTTGCTTTGCTTTTTTCTACAGGAAAGAATAGTTGCCCCTCATTTAAAGCACGAGTACAATACAATCTGTAATTTGAAGTCGGAAAACCCAGAGCCGATGGCTCTCACCAGTAAGTTATCACAAATGTTTCGTTGGCTCTTCTCACAAATGAGCGATGACACACGGTCTCCCAAAGTAGATCTATAGCGTTAATTTTTCAAAGAAACTGAGAAATTAACTATGTTTTTTTTTTCCTTCTTGTGGCCATGCCTTCTTAGCTTAATTTTCAGATGCGGGACTGCTGCCCCTAGCACCGTTTCATTTTCTTTCAAGCCGTAGCTCACACAACTGGTTACACTCGCTATCTGGTCCTAAGGTTCTAACTGTGGGGCATATCGGATGAGATATGATCATTCAATTGCTTGTTCTTGTATATGATTCGAGGGATCAAGAAGTTATAAATCTTGTATACAGATTGTCCCGGTGGCTTTTTACTTACCTGTTTCTCTTTTTGTTTAATCTGATTGCCTCTTTAGATTGATGTGCTCATGGAAGTTGAACTTTTTAGTAGGCCCTAATTCTGATATCAAACTTCCGGATTATATGCACAATTGTCCATAGGTGACCATTATCCACCTCTTCATTGATTTCACGTTAGACAAGGGGTCCATTACTTTGGAAGAATCAATGGAAAATGTGAAGTAATGTTCACCTACTATGGGTGAACAAAATCGAACGTATTATTTATAATTGGCGTGATGTTGTGTAATTGACTCGTGATAAATGTTCCTCTTGTGCACTTATCTCTTACGCTATATTTGAATATTTGATTTATTAAGGAAAAAGAAAATTAATTCCATTTTTTTCTTATCTTTTTTTTTTTCGTTCTTTATATTATTCACAAATTCATGATAGAGATAGAGATAGAGATAGAGATAGATGACCAATAGCCTAGGAGTTGGTACATCTCAGTGTGCATTTTGTTTTTGACCAAATCATGTCAAGGTACGATACAGACTAACATTGGAATTTTGTTTTTGACCAAATCATGTCAAGGTACGATACAGACTAACATTGGAATGTTTGGTAAAACAACAAAAAAAGGAATGGTGTTTTTTTTTTTTTGAAGGTTGAAATTTAATTATTAAGAAAATTAAGTGAAAATTTTCCTTTCACAGTTTTCAAATAATAATTATTTTTTATTTATTTAAATTATTTATACTTCATAAGTAATTAGTTAGAGTAGACACTAAACAAACTTGTAATGACTTATTACAAATAATAATGCCTTCGTTTGCGAAGTTGATTGGTTTTTTGATTTTTTTAACTTGGGTTAGAAAGTCTCGTTTGTGATAAGATTTTTAATTTTTTTTTTATTTTTGTAAGAGAAAAAATAAAATGATTATCGTTTAGAGGTGGTGACATTTTATTTTTTTAATAATTTAGTTTATTTTATCTGTTTATGACTAAAATAGTCTCAACTTCACATGCCAAACATAGCTGATAATAAATTGCTTAGTGCCTAGATTTGTACAGACTGCTCGCAAGTCGTTGATAAATTTTTGCTTCGGTTCATAGAAATGCAATTGGGCACAAGAAAATATCCATGGTCAGTGCTCCAGTGAAAGCCTCTCAAATAGGATGATTAAAAATTGTGGGTTAGTGTATGTGTTAACCGCTAAAAAAGGGTAAAAGATTTGGACTAGTTTAGTTGGTCTCTCAAAATATTTTTTTAGAGAAAAAAATTTTAAAATATGTTTGGTTAAAAAAAAAAATTCAAAAAATTCAAAATCACTTTTCTCATTCTTTGATTAGAGTATAATGTTTTATTGTATGTGTAATTCAAATGTGGAGAAATTTTTATGATCATTCCCATGATATTTTTTTTATAATCCCTAACATTACTCATGAAAAATATATGTAATATTTCCTACTAAATTACACTAACCTCTCCAGATATTTGAAAAAAAAAAATTCAATATAATACACCTCACAGTTTTGACATCCTCCATTTTAGTAATTTTAAGAGATCGGAAGTATTGCCAATGACGAGAAGACACAAAGATAAACATTGTATGATATATATTTCAATATAAAATAGATGACATCGTTTTCTGTCGATATAATTAACGAATTACTAATAAAAAACAAATTAAGTGTTATATGAATTAAAACTTTAATGGTGTGTTTGGTTGGAGGATTTGGGGAGGGATTTGGAAAGGGAAAGGGAAAAGGTGTGTGAAACTATGTGAAATTTAGGCATGTTTTTTTTATATTTCACCTAACTTTTCCATTTCCTTTTCCAAATCCCTTCTCAAATCCCTCAACCAAACACAACATAAGAATAATATACCTATCTCCGTTGGAATCATTTTTAGTAAGCCTCTAGTATGACACTGGAAGGATCAATAATCACATTTCGCATGGACAACAAACAATTATTACCCATCAAAAATTTTAGTTTTTCATTCAGCTTCAACTCCAACTATTTACCATCAAACAAATTAAGGTAACATTGTTCAATAGGTCAAACAAATCTGGTTTAGTCACCTACTGTCCTTGGCTGTCAGATCAGACAGATTCTTGTCAAGATGAATCCATCGTGCAGACCTGATCCGGTTGATTGGGTAAGGTTGATTGGGTAAGATGTCACAGCTTCAACATGTCCTTCAATATGAGAAATGGCTTCACACACATGAAATATCCCACCAGAGGGCAGTAAAAATTTCCTGGGATTTGACAAATAAAAGCTTGCTTAGGCCAAATGATCTTTTAAGGGAATCCAGTTGATTGAATCTCTTGCCATGGATTCAATTCGATTCTAAAGACAAATAATATCATCATCGCGCCCACAACCTTCTCATTGACAAAAACTAAGTAACACTGATAACAAGTAAAGAAACAAACGAAATTTCATTTGATGTAATGTATGTGGAACTCATAATCCTTGAATTCAAAACCCAAGACAGGTTCTTCATAATTCTTTCACTATACCCACCAAAAGAAAGGAGCTTAATTTGTGAAACCATTTCTTACATAAACCAAGCAGTCAGTGATATATTTGGAGATCGTTAGAAAACTTAGACGAACAAGTCAAAGATCCAACTCTGAAATGTAAAGTTAATATAGCTTAAAAGAGTTCTATATGGTACAAAAAAGAATGTGCCGTCACTTTTCTTCTATGTAAGATATAATTTGAAGATGAATTAGGTGAGTGTACCAAAATTTCTTCGGGAGTTTGCTTTAAACTTTCACCAAGTGTGCTTCTGCCAGAGAAGAATTGAGATCTTCTCGAGACTGTGATCTCCTGCTCTGAAGGTGCATCTGACTTCTGTGAGGGGGCCAGAAAGAAGCCATGCTACTATTTTCAAATTGCATCTGCCCCAAGCTACCTGACGAATAACTATGCACGAAACTGCTAGTAGATGGGTACAAGGAAGATTCTGTGAGCTGAATGCTGCTTCCGCTGAAGCCATGACTCGTTCCGAACGGTCTCTGTTGGGCGTCTGCAACTGTTGGGCTTAGTGGCATCTTTACTCTTCCATCCCCTGGAAAACCAGAATCAACATCGACATTGCCTAAAAATATTAGATAAATGAAAACAAAAACCACAACAAGAAGCCAGGGCATTCCCTAAGCTAACAATTACATTGGAAAAATAAATCCATGAATGATTCGAGGGGAGAACTCCAAGCACAAATTAGAGTCCCAGAGGTCTGATTGTTCTCAATGTTATTCCAAGAAGAAACTCTCCATCTCGTGTCCACTACCAGGCTGAGAACAAAGAAACTTACAGATTAAGAATAAATTCTCCGTGTTAATTGACAATCTGGCTCATACATTAACAGTACATTAACAGTAGTCCAAAATTTTGGGCACATTAAAGAAAAAGTCATTTACTAAAGAAAAATCATCTGGGATGAAGCAATTTATCTGTCAACGTCTGTATCCATGCCCAGACAAAATGTTGTAATCCACAACTCTAGAGTCTTGACACGCAGGACAATTGCAGAAACTAACATAACTTCCAGGGGTCTGGCTTTTCAGTTGGATATTACTTAACAATTTAAATTGTCTAGATTGTCGGCACTATCAATACAAACTTTGGCCTCATCATATGATGTTTATGTTGGTACAAGGAAATTCCTCCACAAGGGAAATCTAGAAGTGTCACGAGGTCAGAACGTTGATAATATTCCCTTATCAGCATGAGAGACACATTATTTATCCAATGATAATTAGCAGAAAAATACAAGCAAAAACACATAGTATTTCATTAACTGGCAAAAATATTACAACAGCGTAAAACTTCCATAATTTTCTCTGCATAAGTCACATATCGTGTAGAAGTGTTTACCTGAACTTACGGGACTCCAACGTTGAAACCGGAAAGGACTTGAAATATTGAGAACAGAAGTAGATGATGCACTGTTATGCCCAAAGAGGGGAAGAAATGGTCTACGGAAAAATCTTGGCACCCAATTGGCAACACATGACAATGCACAAACTAGGAAAAACAGTGAAACAAATAAAATGGCTAAAAGAATGACTGGGTTTATCTTCATCTCAAGTATTTCATAACTGTGAAGCTCTGATCTGGTTAAAATTGCCTTCCCAGCTTCCAATAGGGCAACCCCAAGGGTCCAAGTAATACTTCCAGAACCAATAATGACTTGGTTATCTGTAATGTGTAAGCCCTCTCTTAACAGCAACACAGTGTATGGTGCCCTAAAACAATATTGTTCTATAAAGGGCTGAGGAGGAACGCTGTTCTTTGCAATGTCCCAAGTTCTTTCGCAAAACTCCCTACCCTTCTCTAACACATCATCAAGTGTAGCATCGGAACTCAAGTTAAAAAAACGGTACACCACAAAAAAGCCAGACATTGCATAAAATTGGCCATAAGGACGAGGCAGATTATCGGCAAGAGCACAAGGCTGCAACTCACAATCCATTCCTGGACTTAGATCTGACCATTCAGACAAATTCACAGCAACTTTTGCAAGTTCCCTGCATTCTTCCCATTTTGGTGCACCAATAAGTTGGATGGGAATTCCTTGCTTTCCCCCTTTACCCAAAACTTTTCCACCACTCACAGGACTCCCACTTGAATCGAAAATAGAAGCACACTGAGAACAGAAGTATTGCTCTTTGTAACCAGTTTGCAGGCAAGGATGTTTGATTTCAATGTGTCCACCAGCTAGATCAGCATTAGTAATTTCAGGAAGCTTCTTGACAAGATAAACAACGGACTTGTCAAAAGCATCATTCAAACCGTAGCCTGAGAGCGAATAGGCACTGAGATGATGTTTAACAGGACCAATGCTCAGCTGTAAACTAGTTTCGTCACGCACATGTTCCTTACTCTCAAAAGTAACTTGCAAGGACGAGCCTCCCAAGTCAAGTGCACCATACGTAGCTTTTTTGGGGATGGCCCCCAAGACTTCAGTGTGGTAGTTCAAAGCTATCCATCCATAATAGGCTTCCTCCATGCCACTGATAATCTTAACCCACCCTCTCTCACACCAGAAGGGTGAACTCTTCAAAATGGACCACGCATTGTTAAGAAGCCATTGTGAGTCTGAACTTGGCAGCCTGCGAACCCCTGCTGTAGCATAAAGGAACAGAGAAGTGGTCTTGTGTGCATGCTCGGGAATTTGTTTCTTGGCCCACTGAATAAGTGGTTTTATTGCTTTCCTCAAGCCAGATATGTTGTGCACCAACTTGTCAAAGCCAGGTTCAGTCTCCATTCGGTTATAAGCACGCCCACTCCGTAGACTAGGTTTTCTCTGAAGACCTTCTTCTGGTAATGATCTCAACAAAATAGGGAGACTGCCATCCTTCTTGTAATTTACAGATGCCTGATATACAAAAACCCGGGTACCAGTGCTACCACAATCGAGTACAACGTAGAACTTGGATGTTCCTTGAGACCAATTGGAATAAAAAAACAGTAATGTATATATAAGAACAGCAAATAACAGTAGGCACAGTAGAACCACGACCACACGCGCCCACTTCTTTCGTGCAAGGGGACTTCCTGGTGATGCCTTCTCCTTGGAAAAACTTGACCCAGCATTTCCTCTCTGTAAGAGATTAGGCTGTTTTGCATGGATCAAACTCTCATCAATTCCCGAGTTAAGATCACTTTCTGGATCAAGTCGACGATAAGTGGAGAAATCTTGGAGAGAAGATGAAAGTCTCAAATTATTCTTCTGTCCCGAGTTGGCAAAACCATAACCATAAACAGAATTTGATGGAGGCAGCAATCCAGATGATACATATGGCAAGGTTGAGGATTTTGGGGCTGATAAACGACTAGCTGCAGCAGACAAAACCTCAGCAATTCTACTAAAAACCATGTCTGCAGAAGTATACAACTGGTGGACCGACTAATATTTCATTCCCATAGCTTTGATGCATAAATATGTGAAGGGACTTACTTCCCGTCTTTCCATGGTACAACTGAGTTCATACAAGAAATAAGTTAAAACGATAGCTCAATTTTCTGTGCGTTATTATGCATTACACGCACAGAACTAGCAGCAGTGATTAGCATTTAGCTTTTTGCAAATGATAAGATGAAAACAAATTAGGCACACAACACAAACTGAAGTCAAGCTAACAAGCCTCGCTTTATGCTGGGACTTAAGAAACAACCCAATGTTATAGTTATTTTGATCCTTTAAATGCCAAAAGAGAACACACCTTTCCTAGAAATGTTGATGTTGTAAAATACCATGTTATGAAGCAACTAAACAAACTGATAATTCTATTCAATTTTCAACTTTAAAGAGCTTTTAATCACTTACAACAGGCTATGAACAGATTATTTTAGTAACTTTTTGACTTTTAACGAAAAGATGTGTAGAAAAGTAGAGAGAGTAATATGACAACTTATAGTGACTTTTTGACTTTTTAGCTAAAACAGAAGATTGCCAAACGAGGCCTTAATTTTCAGAGCTGTGGTAGGGGATAACCGTTCATGTGTGCCCCTGGCCAGGTTTTCAGAAGTTCTCATCCCAAATTGAATTTAGAAGTCATATATGTCTCACATTTAAAAAGCCAATGACCCATTAACTTTTTGACGAATTTTATTCTATTTTTACAAATTTAACAGTAGTAGAATAAATTTTGGCATACTAAATGTAATTGCATCACTTCTGTTACTTGCACAGGGGTAACTATGGAACCACTGATTCTTTGTACCAAATATGCCCTTTAAAATTCCTTGTGAAAAGCAACGATATAAAAGAAACTAATTGCATCTATAATTTCTTGATATATCTAATGGAAGTCGTAAATGGGAATGTAGTAGCACTGTCTCTTCGCATACTGCACTGGTTCATTATTACCCCCTTTAACAATTTGCAAAGCCTTTGACAGTAAATTGCAATTTACAACACAAATCAAATGCATACCCTAAATTATCAAAATAGGTATCCCTCTCTCTAATTATTATATACTCAATTTCCCCAAAGTAACATTAGAAGATTAATACAATGATGAATCAGAGTTTTCACCATGAAATCTAAGCCACCGACCACATGAATTTCAAAGGAAGATTCTTTTTCAAACTCCTTTTCTACTGACCAATATTAAACAGACCATCTAAACATATGCACCACCATAACAAGATCAAACGCATACTTCAATCTCTTGTTTACGTTTATTATTGTCATTAACATCTCCATGTTATCCCAATGTGTGTTTTCAATTTTAGTGATTTGTCCATGAAATAAAACAAAAAAAAATCTAAACTTTCTAGTTACATTTTTCAAAACTATCAAGAGTTTACAAATTAAAGTGAACATAGATAAGAAATTCAAATTTCCAGATCGCTTAGAAAGGGTTTATTATCGAAAATTTATCCACAATTAGAGGAAAAAAAACAAGAGTAAATCAATTCAAAATTTGAGAGAGAGAGAGAGAGAGAGAGAAGATGAACTTACAGAAGGAAAGTGTGGTGTTGACGAGGGGATTCGATGGGGGATTTTTGTTGGGAAGAAGAGAGAGAGTAGGTGGGCGGGAGAGAGAGAGAGAGAGATAGATAGATCACGAGAAGCAACAATGGGGGGTTTTGAGAGAATATCACCAAACTGAGACTTGCTCTTGCTGTGGACCCACAGACCATGCAAGATCGATGAAGCGTTTTTCAATAGAGTGTGGATCCGAATAGGGGTATTATTATTTTCTCGGGAAACAAACACCGACTAGTTTTTTTCCCGTGTTGAACAACTCCAGCATTTCTCTCTCCGTCTCTCTCTCTCTCTCTCTCTACTTCTGCGGGGGCGTCAGGATCCTCTGGGGTAGAAATCCTACAGTGATCTCCTAAAGTAAACAATCCTACGGTTGAAAATAAACCTCACCAAAACGACGTCGTTTTGGTGAGTAATTTCAAATTTAAAAAAAAATTACAGCTTTAATTCAAAACATCTGCAGATAGGAAGCATTATAGAGAGAGAGAGAAGGGTACAGAGAAAGAGCTCTTCCCACCCATCCCCGACGCGTCGCTGCCCGCCATACTCCAACAGATTGAAGGAAAAAAACCACAGGTTTGTTCATCCTCCAAACTTAAAATATTAGGGTTTTGAATCCAAAAATTAGGGAAAAAACCAGATTGAAGGATTTTCTTTGAAGGCATTTGTTGTTTAGGCGGTTGGTTGTATAGATACGTAAAAATAAGCCGTAATCTGAACTTGACTACCTTTATAGAGTAAAAATCTGAACTTCGAAGTAAAAAATATGTTCTTAGGGTTTTGATCTAGGACTTTTTAAATAGATGCTTCAGAATCAATTTTTCCATCTTGCTTTGATTTCTTTGTGGTCATATGAAATCAGTCTTGTGGTGTGCAATGTCCATATAGGGCACTATTAAATAGGCAACAAAAAAATGTTGTTATTGTAGGAATTTAACATTTGAGCAATGAGATAATCTATATTTTAAACAAATATCTAAAATGTATTTATAATTTACCTTAAATTTTAAAATTTAAATTACAATTAACAAATAAAATGATATAAATTGATTATTAGTTTAACTCTGTATTAATAATAAGCCTTGACTTTTTTTTTAATTTAAATTTTAAAATTTTAAAACAATATCAAATCTAATAGAAACACTTTAAATAATTTAATCATTTTTTTTTTTTTAGTATTAAACGACAGCGGTGGTTATGGGTTAGGGAAGGAATGAGTTGAGAAAGAGGAGGAATAGCGATGGAAGTTGGTAGGTAAGGATAGGAAATGGTTGTTAACAATGAAATAATAAAAAAATAGTTAAATTATTTAAATTGTCCCTTCTATGTTGTTATACAAATAGATAATTAGATTTGATACCATTTTAAAAACGCAAAATTTAAATTAATTTGTTATCAAGGTGAAATTTTAGATTTATTTTGTAATTTCACCTCTTTTTTTTTCTATTTTTTTTGGCCCTTTCATAAGGCTATGTTTGTTTGCAAAATATCTTGGGACTATATATTCGCTTATACACTACTTCCATTGAAGATTAATTGTAATATATTTTATTAGAAAAAATTAAATGATAAAGTAAGATTAGAAGAGTTATTTATAACAAAAGATGGAATAACAGAGACAATCCATGATATAAGACAACTAATGCTACCCATGGTATTATTTATTTTTTTATCCTAGAATTATTAGTCAATGTCTTTTGCATTATACTTGCAACTATGGGTTGTTTTGGCAACATAGTTTTTAGCCACTTTTTTTTGTTAGTATCAAAAGTCAAAAGTTGACTTTTTTGTCTTTTTTTTCATTTGGGAAGTTGGTTTTTAGCCAACGGTGAAATTACAATTTTACCCCTCATGGGTCAAAATGTATTACATAGGTGAAGTTGTAAATATTTTAAATAAATAGGAGTAGTTTGGTCATTTTATTATGATTTGACATCATAAACAAATATTAATCAAAAAAGTCAAAAGTCACTTTTTACCAACTTCCCAATTCATTTGTCTAAAAAAGCCAAAAGCTTGGTTAAAAGTCAAAAAGTCACTTTTTACCATCTTCCCAAAACAATCCTATGTTGTCCCTCAAAATTGGCTCCTAATGCCAATGCTTATCAAGATTAAGTTTGGATTAGAGGAATATTGAAAGAGAATATGAGAATATGATTTTGGATTTTCATAATTTCAACATTTGAAATGAACTAAAATAAGAAAGTGATTTATGATTATCTATTTTTAAATAGGGATCATAAGAATCTCATTCCCTACTTTTCCATGATAATCTCTCATTTCTAATCTCTCATTTCTAAAGAAATGTTAACCATTTCAAAATAAAATGTAATAATTTAACTCAAAATATTTAAAATTTTATCTTTTTTTTTATAGATAATTCTTAAGAAAACTAAATGCTTGGAAAAATTACCATTTTTTCTTTATATCATTTAAATAAGTCATTGCCAAAAGGTCAAAACAATTCAGTTAAAATAGTAAAGAAAAAAAAAAAGTAATTGTTTCAGTCCAAAAAAAAAAAAGGCTACTTCAAGTCCTAAAATCCTCTTTCTTATCTCCCTCCTTGACAAACAAATAAATTAATTATCATAAACCTGTCACTAATTAACTAATGAAACACACAATCAAAAAAAGAAAAGAAAAAACCAATCACTTTGTTTAGTTCTAATTTTCAAAAAACAGTTTTTAGAAAATTTTATTTTTTTATTTTCTATATTTTAATGTTTTCAATGAATTTTTTTACTATATTAAGAAATTTTTAAAAATTTTTAGACATACCTAACATAAATACACTTAAAAAGTATAATATCTACAAAAAAAATCTTTAAAAAATATACTAAATACCAAAACATACAAAAAAAATAAAAATAAAAATTCAATACATTTTTTGTATTTTTGTGTATTTATTAACTTTTTAAAATATTTTTTCACAAATATTTTACTATTTAGATAGATCTAAGTAAAGTGTATTTAAAAAAGTAAAAATATTGCTTAAAATTTTAAAAATATTCACTAAATATAAAAAATTACAAAAAATAAAAAAACTCAATTTTTAAAAAATTAAATTTATAAAATCAAAACTAAATACACTAAATGTGACACTCCAAATAAATAAAGAGGGGTGGGATCACTTGAACTGTTAAATGAGAAACAATGTCGGTGACACTTACTTAATTTACAATTTTTTTATTAATGATATTACCTAAGGACTATGGCAATATTATAGCTTAACAGATTATAAATTATAACTTCAATCAGAAGTTATTAATTTGTTTGATGTAACTATTAGATTATAGATTTAAGTTGCTGAGTAGTATTTGTTAAATAAGCTGTGAAATAGATTTTTCAATTAATTTTTATTTTTTGTTTGTCTACATTTCTCATAAAAAATAATAATTATTATCTATAGTCCATCTGGGTCTTTTTCTATTTTTAAAAAAATAAAAAATAAAAAAAATTATGAGTAGAACCAAAAATTAACATGTGAAGCTGATAATCAGAAATAAGAGGTGAACAGCTTCTCAGAATCAGCTTTTTTGAGTTAAAATAAGCTGTTAAAATCAGAAACTGTTTAAAATAAATTTAACCAAACAGTTCAAAATAATTTTTTCAAAGCTAAAAATCATAAATTAATTCCGAAAAGCTAAAACAAACACCTCCATTAAAATCGGAATCGCTAATCCCATTTTTTTCAAACAAACGATGCCTTAATCCCAAGCGGGTTTAAGAGGCAAGTGCACTATGCAAACAACAGTGTTATCAGGGAGGGAGCATGTGATGGCGGAGGGAACATGTGACCAGGGAGTTCACGTGTCCCACTGGATTTTTTGGATTTTTTTTTTTTTGTAAACATAAAAAAAATTAAATAAAAAATTACAAATATATTATTAGAGTGGAATGTCAATGATATTTTAAAAATTATAAAAACAATAATGGTTGTTTTGATTGAAAATGATGAGACTATTATAAATAAACCATATTAGCTATGAAATTTTTTGAATGTAACGACAATGTCATTATTAATGATATGGACGTATAAATAATCTCACTATAAATATATTGAATTTATTAGATTGTTAGTTACATTTGACATGTGAGGTTCACTATTTATGCGTTTATTTATCATTAGTGGGTAATGTTACATACCAGTGATGACGTGGTATTACCATTATATTGAATTTTTAATCAAATTTTGTATCAAAAAATAATTTATCATTATATAATTTATTTTAAGGCTTATATCTATATTTTTTTTTGTATTGTCCATGATACACTAGTTACAAATAATATTTTTTTTCTTGATATTTCCTAAAATCAATCGTAAAAAATTTACGTGAAATATTTTTGTAAAAATTATTATAATTAGTAAGTGCCCCTTCTAAATTAATTTTCTGGCTCCGTCACTGAGTGTTACCATCTCAGAAAAAATAAATCAAAAAAATATTTATAATTTAATGGTCAATATTCACTTTCAGTATAACCCCCACAATAGGAATTTTAAATTTTCATCATAAATCTAAAATCCTAATTAAATTTGTGATAATTTCTCTAACACCACATGATTTTCCTTCTGCAAAAATTAAGAAAGTTGGTGTTTTCGTGCCGTGCCATACACGTGGAAGACTTGTTCAGTGGATGTGGATGAGTACCACTAAACTGCATTATATATATTTGCAAAAATATAACTATATTATTTATAATTATTTGCATCATAAATAAAATTTCTGTCGATTATAAATAGATTTAAACTTTTTATTACTTATTATTATTATTATTATACAAGAAAAATCTTAAAAGTTAAGAGAAGTTAAGTCAAATTTTAAAGATTTAAGGGATAGAGGACAAGTGAAAATGTAAGAAAATAGAATTTATATGGGTAGTTAGATGATGGTTGATAGAAATTTTTTCCTATATTTTTTTTTGTATAAACTGTCATTCATGGCTCTATTGTAAAGGATCACTAACAAATCAATATATGACTTGATTTCTATTTCTTGTCTATCCTAAGTGTAGATCTAATCTACATAGGAGTAGTTTAAATTTAGATAGGAATAATCTTAAATTTAGATAGGAGTAATCTTAATGTACTTTACTTGTATTTAATTGTTCATTCAATCATTTACATCTTCTTCTTTTCTCTTTCTCTTTTTCTTGTTCTTGTTCATATTGCTATTATTTTTACTCTAAGGAAGTCCTTGAAATTTCAAGTCATAGAATCTCAACACAATTACTTGATCATTGTATTGTTTGGCGAAATTTTGATTAAGGCTCTATTGATCTAAGCCTAACAAAAATTTTGCTAACAATAACATGGATAGATTAATTTGGTAATAATAATTTTTTGGATAATTACAACCAAAAAAAAAAAATCCCTCCACAATTAAACTATTGTAACAAATTAAATATCATATTTTTAATTTTATCAATTTAAATTCTAAATTTTTACTTTAATTTTAACCATTTGTCTAATTTCTTAACTTGTAGTATAAGTTTTTTTTTTTTTTTTGTTACTCAAAATTTTATAACAAAAACCAACTGTTCAAATTTTTTATTTTTATTTTTTATTATTATTATTATTTTTACCTTAACTATAAAATCAAACTCATATTACAAGGTTTGCCAATGATGGTCTAAGGTTAAGTTTGGCAAGTCCAAAAAAAGTCAAAAAATTAAAAAGTTACTCAAAAAGTTAAAAAGTTATCACTCTTTACCAAAAGTAAAAAATTACGGCTGCACAACTCTCAGTCCTAATTTTCTTCTACACACTAATTTATACAATTTTTTTATACATATTTTTTCATAAAAAGTCAAAAAATTAACCCAAACATCCATATTTTTTTCCTTAATTTTTTAGTCTAAAAAAATAAAAAATATATTTATTTAAGATACTCCAAACAACCCCTAATTCTATTAATGGTTTGGAACCCTTTTATTAGAATTATAGTATACTAAAAATCTTATTAATTTTGAGTCAGTTAAAAGTCAAAACAAAGAAAATGACTGCTTCCTAACAACTACTAGGTCCAAATCATTTTTATCCCTTTTGTCCTTGAACAAGAAAAAGTTTTGAATATGTCTCAAGTTATAATTGCCACATGTGATAATGACATGGCCATGTCCATGTCCAAAAGATGTGCATGGTCATGTTTTAAGGATTTAAACAGATGATTAAAAGTTAATTTTTTTATTTTTATTTTTTAATGTATAAAAAATATAAGAGATAATGTGACTAAAAATAAGTTAAAAACTAGAAAGTGACTACTAACTCACTTCTCAAAAGAGCCCTAAATAGATGTGGATCATTCATATAAGGGAGAGTCCTTTAAACCTCATTTAATTTCCATGAGGTCCTGACCCAAAATAATTTAGCACATCTTCCCATTATACCCTTAACATTTAACCCACACGTAGAAATCACTCAACCATTCCACACGCTCTCTCTCTCTCTTTCTCTCAACCGACCACCGAAAACCACTTCCAACCCTTGACAATTTCTTTTTTTGGCTATTTTTCATGTCCACCATGTCAATACCGCCATGCCGGCAACAAGAGAAAAAGAGAAAAATATGGATGAAGAAAATGAAAGAGGGGGATAAGGAATTATATTCAGTGATAAATTTAGTCTTCATAATCACAAATCAATATAAAATTCAAAGACATACTCAATGATAAATTTATCACTGATAGACACATTCAGTAATAAATTTATCATTGACTGTTTGTTAAAAAATTACAAAAAGAATATCTCACCATCATCGTTACAAATTAACACAAGATTCAAAAACATATTCAGTGATAAACTCATTCATTGATAAATTTCTCACTAGTTGTTTGTTAAAAGATTACAAAAAAAAAAAACTCGTCATCTTCGTCACAAATCAACACAAGATTCAAAAAAAAAAATATCAGTGATAATATCACTGATGCAGTAGATTTGGTTTAAGGGAAATAAAAAGAGAGAAAGGGAGTGAGGAAGAGAGAGATGAGATCTGGAGAATCAATGTTGCTTGTAGTTGTTTGAAGTTGATTTCACCATAGAAACAACTAAGTCGGTGTAAATCTAAGACGTTGGAGTATAGATTGGCGACTGCGTAGTATAGATCGGCGATGGCAGAGGTGGTTAGTAAACATTAGTGGTTGATCGGAGATGGTGAAGTATAGATTAGCGACGGTGGAGATAGTTGGTGAACAATGATGGTGGTAGCGGCCGGCGAAGTCAGTGGTGGTGACCTATGGAGGTAGCAGTGGTTAGTGACGGACGACGATGGTGGTTGCGGGCGGGTGGATGGCCATGGCCATAGCGACAATGGTGGTATTTTCTAGAGAGAAAGAAATGAGAAAAAAGAAGAGTTTTGAAAAAATGATCGAGAAGTTAATACAAATTGAAAAAATTAATGAGTAATAAATATTATAAACAATTAAAGATTTAAAAAGAGTTTTAGATGATTTAAATAGGGATTTTTACCAGCCGGTAGTAAGGGCAAAATCGGAATAAAAAAATATAACAGGACTTCCTAGTGCCTGAGATAGAAACTTATGACCTAATAGGTAATAAATTCAATTATTAGAATCGGCTGGTAAAAATCCGTTTATATAAAGCTCACATAGAATCCACATAAATAAATTATATGTTCAAATCTGTTTGTAACGTTGTCATGAAAAAAAAATGAAAAAAAAAAAATTTAAATTGGTATAATAATCGTAATATTTTCATTTGATCACATCAATCTTGAAAAAAAAAAAAGAGAAAAAGATGAGAAGTAAGTTTTTTAAAATAAATAAACACAAAAAAAATCAAAAGTTACAATTATCGTATTGACTTAATTTTTTCATGAATGATATACACGGAGAGTCATAAAAAATGAACAGTTCGGATCAACTAAACAGGAACCATAGTGCATCCCATAGGTCTGTCAAGTTTTGAACTTAAAGAGAAGCCCAAGGCAAGCATCCTAATAGAACACCAAGTGGTACTCACCGTTTTGCTTCTTGTATATATAGTCTACAATTTGTATTCACAAAACCTAAATTTCTTGATTTACACTACTATTTGATTCCTCTCTCTCTCTCTCTCTCTATCTAGCATGATTATATTTTCTGTATACATATTTAAATTGTGAACACAATAGATACAAGGAATGCACAAAAGAAGATCAACATACAAGAGTAGGCAATGAACTTTAAGTCTTGAACTCACTACATTGACAAGGCACTTTTTAAGGCTTCATATATTGGTATGGTGGTGGAATCATATTTCTTCCTGGGTAACCTGCACAAAGAGCTTTTAGTTTAGCACAGACGAGAAGAGCAGAAACCCGACCACAACAATAATTTGGAGAATTATTATGACCCTGTTGATTACACGGACCTTCAAAGCCCCTCATTTCAAGCTCACGCCATTCCTGGACCATTGCACAGCAACAACACATAAGATGAGTTAAGAAGTCATCGCATGCACCTCCCTGCATACAAAACAGAGTTAGAACTTGATGTAATTTTGTTGTATGATTCCTCGTTTTCCAAGGAGAACCAATTCCACCAAGATTATGGGCCTCTTTGGTGCAGCCCTTTTCAAGCTGAAAGTTGATAATCGTAAAGCATAAGCTAAAAGTATGTCTTCCCTTGCTTTTAGATAATCAATTTTTTTATTTTTTATTTTATACCTCATGTAAGTTATTTGTACCTTATAAACTATCGGCCAAATCTGCACAAAACAGTCGGGCACATGTTCTCTAAAAAAAAAAAAAAAGCAACTCTAATAAACTGCACCAAACACGGTCATGTAGACATGATGTCAATGTTATATATGAGATTTAAAGTTTTGAGAGCATAAAAGGGGTTCGACAGAAGTGGCATTGTGCAAATAAATCCCAAATTATATAGATAGATCATTAAGAAGCATCAAACATGACTGCCATTTGAACAGGATTGAAGGAAATTCTATATTTTTTACCCCACACTCATCACCATTGAAAAAAGGAGTTATTTGAAGTAGAAAGTAAAGTTTGAAGGATGAATAAGAATTTCTAAGAGAACTCTGATGATTGTTTCTTATAACATTCACACTTCACAGTTCTGTAATTTCCCATTATGAGAAAATTTGATTGTTCCTATACCAAGAACTAGCATTTGAGAGTTGTTCTGTTTGGGAAGAAAATACCTCAATGTTAAAAAGTTTGCGCAGCTTCCTTCTAACACAACAAGTGTAACAGCAACAACAACAGCATAGGGAGTATGCCATAAGATCATTGCATGCGCGTTCACGAGCTGCACTTCCAAATAAGTGTGGGTAGTCAGAATTAGCAGTCCTCCACTGTTGAAGGTAAAACATTTATCAAAACTATTATTTTTGGTGCATGAGAAAGAATAAAAATGAACCATCGTGTCTTAAATAAATCCCGAATAGTACTAAATTACTAATAACATATGTGGTTTCAGTAGGAGTACCATCTTTTTATTGTTAACATCGATGAATCTGAAAAAAAAAACTAAATGCCCTCAAGATATTGATTTATGATTATGTTTCAAATTTAAAATAGTGAATAACAATCTTAATCAAACAATCAATGACAAATCGGCACAACAATTTCACGTGAAAAAAACCACAATTGGAGCACCTCCAATTGTAATAAAAAAAATCACTGGCCAAAGCCACAAAACAATCCACTAAGAAGACAAAAAAAGAATTACATATAAGTACTCTCAATTACTTAGCGAATTCAGACCCAAATTGAACCAAACCCGATATGCCTCTTCCACTACCGTCTTCACCTCGGAACTACTTTGTCCAATGTTGAATCCATGACAAGCCACTCCGGAATCCTCCAAAGTTTTAGGCCCCAAGTTCCCCAAAATCTACCAAATAACACCTCTCTTTATATGAATAAACAAACAAAATCAACCCTTGATGTTTATCAATATGTAGTTCGTTGATTAATTGATCACCTTCTATACATCAAGGAAATTCATAAAAAAACACCCTCCAATGTAGAACACTTTGGGTGTTTTTGGTTTGTGTTTGTAGAGTAGTTTTTTAGATAAAAGTACGAAAACTTGTTTGATTTGCCTTTTTTCAGAAATGATTTTGGAAAATTGTTTTGGGGAGAGAGTTTTAAAAAAAGTGATTGATTTGATGTGTATGAGAGAGTATGTGATTTTGAAAAGTAAGTAACTAAACAAAATTTTGAGATTTTTTTTGAAAAAATTTGTTTGGTTTGATTACTCTTAAAAATTTGTTTGTAGAGAATTTTTCCCAATTTGTTTGGTTTGATTACTCTTAAAAATTTGTTTGTAGAGAATTTTTCCCACAATTTTTTCTAAAAAGCAAACCAAGCCTAGCCTTTGTATTTTACTCTTCTCTAAGAATTTGGACGCCTAAAAGCAGCAAATGACGCGCTTTACACTAAACAAAGTCACGATGACCGTTCGAGCACACAATTTACTACTCGAGTGGTGTGAGTAAAGGAGATGCAAAAGATATAGGCCAACCGCTTGAACGCAACTTCTTGAGCAGTAAAACGAGTTTTCCAAAAGTTCTGAATGCAGGCTAAAATACTGGATGTACCACTTCACCGCTCAAGCGCACAAACAACGTTGGCTTCGGAGCGCTGCCCCTCGACCTCGCCCCCGGACTCACCAGGTGGAGCTGTCCCTTGGACCCCATACATAGTTAGCAAAGTGGCAAACGAGGATGCTCAAGATACGAAATGTTAGCACAAACTTCTCTACACAGACACAACTTGGGTTGGATTCGCATCTAAACACTTACAGTCTTGCTGAAACAGAAGAACGAATAAAATTACAACTGAAAGAAGTTTTGTCAAACGGGATTGTTTGTCAATTACAAAAACCTAACAGAATCTAAGCACATGAAATGGAGCATACATAGTTCAGACTATCTTTCAAAACTGGGCATTCAAAGATAAGTTTTTGAAAAGAGCTTTCAAAATTTGAAATTTTGTTTGGTTGTATATTTTAAAAATAATTTTGTAGTTGACCTTTTGTAGTTTTGGATGACTTGTAGTTTTTGTAGTTGAATAGATGGGTGTGAGAGAAAAAATGATTAATTGATATGTAGAATGTGAGAGAATGAGAGAGGAGAGAGAAAAAGTGAGAGAATGAGAGGGGAGAGAGAGAGAGAGAGAAAAAAAAAAGTGATTGGTTGATTGATATGTAGGATGTGAAAGAATGAGAGAGATAGAAAAATTGATTGAAAACAGTTTTGAGAAAATTGTAAACCAAACAAATTTTGAGTTTTGAAATCTCAAAACTTGATTTGAAAACTAAACCAAACAACCCTTGAGTATTCTTAATTAGGCTTTGTTGAGGAAATTGCTTTAGCGTTATGCGTTATGAGTATGATAGCTAATATAACCAAATGGCAGCTTTGTTCTGAACATTGTTGAGGCTGGATAAATGCTCGGCAAGTCGCATATCTTATCCATTGTTGTCAAAACGCAAATTGAATTGTGAGTTGTTCTCTCAAGTAGTGAATCATAAATAGTAAATTCACTTTATTTAAAATTCAGCTGTATGAATCAAATTGTGAATCGTAAGATTTTAATAAAGTTTTGCTACAAACACAAAATTGGTTCACAAAATCAATCACAGGTCACAAAATCAATCACAGACACCTGTGATTGATTTTGTGAACCATTTCTATGCACTTAATTTTTCTCATTATAATAACCATGATCATATCAACTAGGTTGTTACTTGAGATCAATGCAATTAAACACTGGAAAGCTTACATGTATTTCCTTTCGAGGACACATGAGCTATGCGTGAAAATATTCCACAGGGATAGATGCAGGCCTTCAAACCTGTTCAAAAATAAATAAATAAATAACAAAATTAACAGAAATGAATATTTATAATAGTCTAGACAACTACTATATCAAACATACAAAACTAAAAATGTTCGAAAGAATTAGGATTTTTGGAACTGACTTAGACAAGGCTCACTGCAACAGTCAAAGAGATCGGTTTGCCACACGGATTTAACTTGATTTTTAGGTTTTAAATCATTAGCCCCATCACTGGATTTTGTGGTTGTTCCATACCTACAACATAAAACCATTTAATGCGATAATAAATCCTAACAAACCTTAAACAGTGAATCAACACTTACCCGGATCCTGAATAAGTCAATACATCCAGGGAAAGCTTCTTTCCTGTTGGCACATTAACAACATTTTCTGTAACTTCAATAAGGTGTTCAATTACTTGGCATTCCTTCGGGTCATTTTTCACTATGGACCGATGCAACTCAACATGCAGCTTCTCCTTCTCCTCCTGAAGAGCCTCGTGGAATTCAAGCTCAGGATATCTACGAGACAGAGAATTCTCTAATATGTTTGCATCTTTCTTAGTGAAATTTTTTTTTAATATAACTCCCTGGGCCTCCATATCGTCTTCATCGAGGGTGTATTCTCTATGGTCCTCTTCAATGGCTTCCAAGCTGTCCTTCAAATTCTGATGTCAAAAGCAGTATATAAGAAATTGTGTTCAAGCTAACAGAACTTCATCATGGGACAAAAGCCATTTTTACTGAAGTTCACGACTAACTTTTTGCAGGGGCATTAAATTTAATTCTCTTAGTCTAGAATCAACAGAGATCAAGTTAAACTAAATTCCTATGCTCATGTTCCAACACTTCGAGGTAAAATTAACACAAAATTCCTCCACCATATCACTTCTTCTTTGAGTCTCTCTCTCCCTGGCAAGATGTGTTTGGATTTATGCAGCCCAAAGTTTCTCCATGGGAAGATGGTGGAAGGTGGTGGCAGAGGATATGGGGTGCACTTAGATGATTTATTTATTTATTTGAATTTTTGGGGATTTTGTCCTTAATAGCAATTGCACTCAAGAATAAAATTTTAATTTTTTATGAGTAAACTTAAAATTAAGGGATATTTACGTATAGGTCCTAATAGGTGGACTTATTGTCCAATCGATCCTATGATAATTAATGGCATTTTTTATCAAACGCTATTAAAAAACGTCAGTAATGGATAATTTTCGGCAATAATTTGAAAATTTTGTCACAAAAAGTGACATTAATTATAAGTTTTAGCGACAGTTCAAAAAAAAAGTCACTAATTTTTAACTTTCAGCGACAGTTTGAAAAATTCGTCATGAAAAATGTCATTAACTGTAAGTTTTAGCGACAATTTATAAAAATCGTGACAAAAAAAGTCATTAATTGTCAATTTTTAGCGACATATGTAAAAAATTGTTACAAAAAATTATTTTTAGCGACGATTTTATTAATACTTATTTTCAATAGGACGTGATGGAAATTAAGTTCAACTATTAAGACCTATTGATAGTTTATCCGAAAATTTAATGTGTTCGCAATTAGTAACTCGCCACATCATAGGCCCATTTGGCATCACTTTACTTACCTTATTTGTTTAAAAAAGTGGTCTAATAATGTTTGGTTGTAATTTTAAATTATAACTTCTTAAATTTATTTGAAAAAATAACAAAATTGAGATTTCTTTGGTTACAATTTATATCTATTTTTAACTCACTTGAAATCATTAAATATGTTTGGAAAAAGTGCCTCATCTATTTTGTTTTAATTGCTAGTGTAAAAAGATTTTTGAAGATAATTTAAATATTTGCAACAAAAGAAAAATCAACAATTTATTCAACCAAATAAATATTGTGAGAAAACTAGGTAGTAATCTATGTAACTAAAAGATGCGGCTTCCCTCCTATCCACTGTTTGGATTGAAGAGTCCAGTTTTGTTCATTATGGACCTATCCTCCTATCCACTGTTTGGATTGAAGAGTCCAGTTTTGTTCATTATGGACCTATCCTCCTATCCACTGTTTGGATTGAAGAGTCCAGTTTTGTTCATTATGGACCTATCCTCCTATCCACTGTTTGGATTGAAGAGTCCAGTTTTGTTCATTATGGACCTATCCTCCTATCCACTGTTTGGATTGAAGAGTCCAGTTTTGTTCATTATGGACCTATCTTATGTTCATTTTGTTGATTCAAACCGATCAAGTTTTAATACTTTTAAGTAGATCATTGATTTGACTTGGGACAACTGCTCAAGCGATCATGGAGAGGAAGGTAAGTCAGGTGTCAGGCTTATGGGGAGACATTAGCATGTGTTGTAACCTAACAACTAACCTACTAACCACTATTTTGTGAAGAAAAAAAAAAAAAAAAGTAGATCATTCATTTAAAATAATAATAAACGGTAAATATAATTACAAGAATAGTTCACCAATTTTTTAAAACAAAGTAATTGAAACATATAGTTGATGATTTTCAATCAATTTAATTTTTTTTTCAAAAAACTACTAAAATTTGAATGAGTCAGATCAATAAATTTGAAATTAGCCCATAATGATCCACGCAAACTTGTTCGCACAAAAGTGGGTGAACATCACACTTCAGTGATCAGTCCATTGTGACGTGAAAAGTAGGACCACTCCACTCATCCACCAATAAAAAATTGTGTAACAATGTGGAAATTTTATTCTATGAACAAACTACTCCAAACATTGTGTTAGGTTTTTATAATTAGCAATCCCATTTAAGAAAATTCTTTTCAATTGTAATTTTATTCGATATTTTATGTAGATGCGAATCCAATTCGAATTGTGACTATGCAAAGGAGTTTGTGATCTTAATCCTTTCATGTTTGTCACTTCGCTGACTATGTCAAAAATCGAGCTGCCAAGTTAGTTCGCGGGGGTCCAGGGGGCAGCGCCCTGGCGAGGTCAAGGGGCAGCACTCCCGAAGCAAAAAGCAAAATGCAGTCAAAATTGTTTGACCGCTCGAACAATTATTTGTGAGCTCGAGCAAAGAAAATGATCATTCAGTATTTTTGCAGAACGCCTAAACTTCTGGGAAAAAAATTTTACCGCTCGAGCGATGAAAGTTGCACTCAAGCTGTCAGCTTATATGTTTCGCACTACCTTTAGTCGCACTTCCTTTAGTCACACCGCTCGAGCGGTAAAATGTGCGCTCGAACAGTTTGCACGATCTTGTTTTCTATAAAGTGCGATGTTCACTGTTTTTAGGTTTCAAGTCGCCCAAATTATTTGAGAGGAAGAAAAAACAAAAGGTATGTTTGGTTTGGGTTTGTAAAGTGATTTTGGAAAAAAAAATTTAAAAAACTTGTTTGGTTTGTAATTTTTCCAAAATCACTTTATCTCTCTTACACATCAATCAATCATTTTTTCTCTCACGCACATCTATTAAATTACAATAAAATACCAAATCATTTCAAACTCCCAAACTCCAAAATTACTTTCAAAATACACAACCAAACAAACCAAAAAATTTTCTAAACTCTCCCCAAAACAATTTTTAAAAACTACTCTCTCAAAACCAAACTAAACATACCTAAAATGTTTTATATTAAAGACTATTTTATATGAGTTTCCTTAGTGTATAGAAAGTGATCGATTAATCAACGGACTTTAGATTGTCGAACATCAAGAGTTGTTATTACTGTTTTATTCACAAAAGATAGAGTTGTTTTTCGGTGGATTCTGGGGAACTTGAGCCTGAAGTTTTGGTGGATTCCGGAGTGACTCATCGTCGTGGATTCGACATCAGCGTTGTGAATTCAACGTTAGACAAGACAATTCCAAGGTGAAGATGGTGATAGAAGAGGCATATTGGGGTCGGTTCAATTTGAGCGTGGATTCGCTAGATAATTGAAAGTACACTTGTGTAATTCTTTTTTATCTTCTTAATAGATTGTTTTGTGACTTTGACCCTTAGTTTTTTATCACAATTGGAGACACTCCAATTGTGATTTTTTCACGTTAAATCGTTGTGTCGATTTGTTTTTGATTGTTTGATTAGGATTGTTATTCGTCATTTAAAATTAAAACATAATCACAAATCAATATCTTCAGTTTTTTAGATTTTTCACATTGGACTAGAGAAAGTTGAATCCTTGTTAATTTTTTTATGAAAAATATTTGTGACTCATAAAATTTCTCACAATTTCATCCATAATATTTGTCACATATTCAATTACGTAATCCTCTCAATGATGTGTATTTCGAGGTCAAATGCGGTTTCTCCTAGGGTTGCTCATGGTTTGATTTTGGATGGTTCAATTTGCGGTTTAGACCTACCCGCATATCAATGGTTTGGGAAAAATTGAACCCGCAACTGCTCGCAGTACGGGTTGGGGTTTGTGCAGATAGGATTCGTAGATATGTGGGCGGTTTGTAGATTGGACTTTTTCCTTTAAAAATTTATTTTTGGGCCTCTTTATTTTTTCCCGTTTTATAAATATTTATTTTGAGCCCTTTTCTCCTCATTTTCTAAAATGCTCAACATTAATAATTAATGAATTAAAACTTATAAAATTAAAAGCACAACAAAATCAATTCTTAACACAAGCAAATCATTCAAAATTCTAAATTTTTAAATAAAATCATAAACTAGCACAAATACATCTTTCAAAATTCTAAACTAAATTATCAAAATCATTCACTACCTACCAATACAATTAAAGTAAAATTATTCAAAATTCTAAACTTATCTAAAAAATCAATGGTTCAAGTTTAAGAAGAAAAAAAAAAAAAAAAAAAAAAGAAAAAAGAGTCTAAATACGGGCGGGTTCTTGTGGGTGCGAGTAAAACCCGCAACCCGCAATAATGTCATATTCCAAACCGCATCCACCCGCATTGTGTCTGTGAAACCGCCCATTTATATGCGAATCGGTTAGGGTTGGACGAGTTATGCGGTTCGGATAACCCAATGCTCAGACCTAATTTCTACCATTACTTAGTATTATAAATTATTAAAAATTGTACCAAACAAATCTTTAATTTATTTTAATTTTCTTTAAGAGTAATGTTAACCAAATGTGTCATATGAGTATGAGACTCATGTGAGATATTTAATAGAACATTTGATAAAATATTTGAAGTCTCTAATATATTTAGTATGAGACTCATGTGAGATATTTAATAGAACATTTGATAAAATATTTGAAGTCTCTAATATATTTTAAATTTTTGGATAAATTACATGAAAATTACATATCATCCTAGAAGTCCCTAATTTTATAATAATAAATAACTCATTTTATTAATAAATTATTAAATCAATTAATGATATTAAAATTTTATTTTAATTAATAAAAATAATTTCACCATTAGGAGAGCAATTAAGAGATATTATAATTTTTCAAGTACTAAGGCAATCCGTCTGTTAAGCCACCAATTTACCCTTAATATTTTAAACTAATAATAATAATAATATACCAACAAATTATAATTGTAAAAATTAATTTATATTTGATACAAACGGACAAAATTTGAAAATCACTAAATTGCCCTTACTTTCCGAAAATAACGGATATCGAAAACCCTCAGCAACGGACAATGATTCCACAGAACATACCTGCATCCTATACTCATGGACCAGCGAGATCAACGGCACAAGCTTCAAATACCGATCGATCTGATTCTGAACCCGACGGAACTGATACACTACGCTCCACCCCATGGCAAGCATGTAGAGATAACTCTTCTCTCTGCAACTCTCCACCAAATCGAGAGCCTTCCTCAGCGCCTCCTCCAGCAGATCCAACGGCTCTCCAGTGGCCGGAAAAGTCCTCAGGTCCGTCGATTTCAGCTTCTCCAGCAAGTTTCCGACCATCCTCACGTGAGCAGCCAGGTGCTCGCAATTGTGCCGGTGAGTGGTGGCGTTTCGGGCCGCCGCCACGATCAGGTTGATCAGGCCCAAGGCGTCCACACCCGCCACCTGTGCTACGTCTTCCATGAAAACACCCTCTAGACAGAGAGAGAATGGGTTTAGTTTGTGTGATTTTAGTTGTTTTTTTTTTTTTTTTTGAATACTGCTTTTGCTTTAAGAGTTGAAAAAAAATTATTAAATTTTTTATTAATTATCTCTAGATTTCACACCAATGAGTCTTATATATATTTTATATCATATTTAGGTCTCGTTTGGCAAATTAATATTTTAGTTACAAAGTTAAAAAATTATTAAAAAAATTAAAAAGTCTATAACATATATTAAAAAGTTAAAGATTTTTTTTTCTCTCTACTTTTTGTATATCTTTTCGTAAAAAGTAAAAAAGTCACCCCAAATATACTAATTTTTTTACCTCATATTTTGACAAAAAAGTCAAAAAATTACTAAAATAGCATGTTCCTAAAAGAGGCCTTAATAAAAAATTTATGATAAATTACATTGACACTTGGATTTATATTTATTACAGTTCCTCTCACCTTTTGAAAAGTACATCGCCCTTGAAGTTTAAAGTTTCATTACAGATTGTCCCATAAGATTTAAAATTTCATAACAATTTTCCTCCTCACCGTAATAATCATCATACATAAAATTAAATTAATAAAAAATCAATATAATTTTTTTAATATAAAAAGATAAACTGCAATAAATATAAATTTTAGGAAGAGTTAGTATAATTTGTCTAAAAATTTAGAGGAGTGATGGAGACTCCCTCTAATCACCTTTCCTACCACTCCACACACATGTGACAAGTGGTGATTAAAAAATAAGAGAAATAATAAAAAAAAAAATCAACCAATAAAAAAGAGAGAAAGTCAAAAGAGATGTGAAAAAAAACAAGAAAGTCTTAGACGTTTTTGAAAAATTTAATGGAAAATAAGTGGGAGCACTAATTAGTATTACCATTAATGATGTGGCAGTAGGTCTCACCATGAATGATTTGATATTTTGGCCTTGGTGTTGTATTTTTTTCTTTTTTTATTAAGTGTCATATCATTAATAGTCTTTTTAAAACTCCAAAATTAATGATATCTATCATTGTTGAAATTTAATAGTAAGACTTTTGACATTCTTTAGAGTTTGGTTTGGAGGTCGGGGAAGTGGAGTGGAGCGGGGGGTCATGTATGTTGTCAGTGGTGATGGAGTTGTCGGTGCGCTCCACTGGGTATGTTTTTGGACTACTTTTGGCCTCCTCGGGAAAGGTAAAAAAATTAATTTATTAATTTATTTAAATTATAGTATCTTTTATATTTTTTTATATATTTTTTAAAAAAATTAATAAATTAAAAAAAAAATTACTTTTCAAATAAGCATTTATTTTGAATAATTAAATTGGGTGATTTTTTAAAAAATAATTATATATTTATGAAATAATTTATTATTTTAATTATTAATATTTATGAAATTAAAATTTTTAGACTACATTAGTGGCATAGAAAATTGATTATGAAAAATAAATATATAGACAGTCCATATATTGAGATAAACTAAAATTTTATTGAAAGATGTTTCACACTCCTTTTTCCTCCCACTCCTTTCTCTCTCATTGCCCAATTTTCTTTTTTTTCTTTTTTTTTCTTTCTCCTCTGATCACCACTCGTCACGTGTTTATGGGGTGGTGGGGGTGGTGATTGGAGGGAGTCTCTATCAATGCTGAATTTTGTTATTAGAAGGGTTAAAAAAAATAATTTTTTCACTATATACATAAATACACATGTATGTAAAATATAGAGAAATTATTTAATAATCTCGAAATATCACGTGGTCATACTCCAAACCAATCACCAATTACTTAGTCTCGTGTTTCCTCATCCCCAACATAAATCGTGGGTCTTTACCTCTCTCTGCCAATCAAAACTTTATGGAGTATCACGTGTCCATACTTCGGCAATACGAATAATCACCTGTAAAATATGATATATAAATTACATATATACATAGAAAAAAATTAAATACTATATAAGCAATCTATAATAGGATAAATAAATTTTTTAGTACAAAATAGAAAGAGAATGCAAGATGAAAAAATAATGGAAAATTGGCCTAAGGTCCCTCCTCTACTAGGTCCAAAATAATATGTTTTGATGGCTAAGGTCCCTCAAATTTATTTTAGGTTGTAAAGTACCTAAATTACCCTTCCTTTATAACATAAATTTGTTTGAATATTATATTGTTGACTTAACTGATAGATTTTGGAAATCGAATTTGCAGTGGAGATTTCGTCGGAGTTTTCGTCGGAGATTTCAGTGGAGATTTCATGGTGGAGATTTCGTCGGAGATTTCAGTGGAGTTGACGAGAAAGATTGCTACGATCGTGTAGATTTTGTTGGAGATTTCGTCAGAGATTTCAGTGGTGTTACAGTGTGTTGATCGCGTAGATTTTCAATAGAGTTAAATTAGGTTTGTTTTCGATGGGGATACCACATGCATTTTGATTTTTGTTTTGAATTTTTGTTTAGAGAGAGGCCAACTTGATAGAGTTGATTTTTATTTTTGGAATTAATTTTTGAAAGATTGCTACGATCGTGTAGATTTCGTTGGAGATTTCGTCGGAGATTTCAGTGGTGTTACAGTGTGTTGATCGCGTAGATTTTCAGTAGAGTTAAATCAGGTTTGTTTTCGATAGAGATACCACATGCATTTTGATTTTTGTTTTGAATTTTTGTTTAGAGAGAGACCAGCTTGATAGAGTTGATTTTTATTTTTGGAATTAATTTTTTATTATTTGTTTTTTAATCAATTTCAAAGAGTGTTGACAGTGTGTTGATCGCGTAGGTTTTTGAGTGGAGTTGAATCAGGTTTGTTTTCGATTTAGATTCCACATGGATTTTGATTTTTGTTTTGAATTTTTGTTTAGAGAGAGGCCAACTTGATAGAGTTGATTTTTATTTTTGGAATTAATTTTTCATTCTTTGTTTTTTGATCAATTTCAAATAGTGTTGACAGTGTAGGTGATTTTGATATTTAGAGTTCATTTTTCGTGCTCTGTTTTTTATCAACATGCTGATCGATGATAAATTTTGTTCTATGTTTTTTCAAACCAGAGAAATTTCATTTTCTGTACTTTTGTTTGTGTAGTCCAGAGGAAATTATAAGTGCATATGGACATATTATTAGAAGTTTCTAATGCAGATAGAATATGAGAAAGTGAATGTAGGTTCATAAATTTCTCTGGACTTGTATTTGTAATTCAGAGAAAATTGTAAGTTTGTTACTCACTTTCTGTTTGTAGTTCAGAGGAAATTATATGTTTGTAGAAGATGAATAGAAGTTTTTGTTTCTCTAAGCAAAAGTTGTTTTTTGTGTTTTTTCTTTCAGTTTAGATGGACAATGCAGTATTTTTTGTTATCTTGAAGGTGTATATAAGTTTGTAAATTTCTCTGAATTTTTCTATGAGTACAATATTATAGAATGACGCATAGAAAATTGTTAGCTTGTAGTGAGGTGAAAATCATGGAGAAGCCTATAATTTCATAACAGATATTCTGTATGATTTTTTTCTATGATTGTGTTTAATAGTTAGCAGTAAATTTCTCTGTGATTCATTAAGTTTCTGTGATTTTGTTTTTTATCATCTTGAAAGTGAATATCAGTTTGTAGATGTCTTTGGACTTTTATTTTAAGTTCAGAGAAAATTATAATTTTTAGAATTTTCTCTGGACTTTTATGTCGTTCTTGTAAAGTGTTTCTATGTTAAACAAATTATTTTTGTTGTTTTTTGTTTCGGTTTCAATGGATAGTGCAGTGTTGTTGCTGTGCAAATATGGGAATGATACTATTGTCATTAATGTTTCATGCGAATTGAATTTTGAGGAATTGGTTGGCATTTTGTGTAAAACATGGGAGAATTTGAAACCTGAGGCTATGTGTATTTCATATTCTATTTTGGGCCATCCGAATTGTATGGTTCGAAATAATATTGATTTTCTGAATATGTTGAGGGTTGTTTGTGCACGCGGTGTTGATATAATTGATGTTTCAGTTACTAGATGTAGTACTTCTGATGAAGAGGATGAAGTGGGGTCTAATTGGGTAGATGTTGTGGATGGTGAGTGTGATAGGCTGGTGGATATTGAAAGGAATTCACTCTCTAAGTTTTGTTCTCACCAAGAAAAGGTGTTATTGTCGGCTAGTTGGCGGAATAATATTATGAGTGTTGGACAAAAGTTTGAGGGTGGTGTGGTTGAGTTTCGTACTTTTTTATGCAAGTATGTTATTGAGGTTGGTTTTCAGTTTACGTATGTTAAAAATGACAAGCTGAGGGTTATGGAAGAATGTGTATATAAGGAGTCAAGGGGATGTATGTGGCGTGTACATGCTTCTGTTGAAAAAACAAATGGGTTCTTCTACATAAGGACTTTGAACAATGAACATACGTGTGGTGTGGCGGTTCATACGAGTAAACATTCGAGGATGACTTCCAGCTTAGGTTCTGGGCTGATACTTGAAGAGGTAAGTGCAAAACCTTTAACTCATCCAGTGGATGTTGTGAAAGAAATGAAAGACAAGTATGGGGTCTCAATCAGTTATAACTGTGGTTGGTTGGGTGTTGAAAAAGCAAATGTAGTACTATGGGGTTCTTGTTTATCATTTGATCAATTACGGTGGTATTTGTATGAGGCATTGAGAACAATCCAGGTAGTCTATTTGAGTTAGATTTTGAAGATAACAAGCGTTTCAAAGAGGTGTTTTGTGGCTTTTCATGCATGCATTGCTGGTTTCAAATAATTGTCGGTCATTGCTTTTTTCTTGATGAAACATTTTTGAAAGACACGATTACAAAAGGAGTTATGCTGCTGCAACGGGAAAAGATGGGAATGAAGAGTAATTGTAAATAATATAGTAATTTTATCTTAAGTATGATGATTTTCTATACATGTAGGAATTTGATATGATGTGGAATTTTCTTCTAGTTTTTGGTCCACTGTTGAGAATTTTTCACTGGATTTTAGTCAGTTGTATGAATTTTCTCCTAGATTTTGTCAATTGTGTGAATATGATATTATAATGTGGTCAACTAAAGCTGAATATTTCTCTGGATATTATTGATTTTTGAATTTTCCTCTGTTAGTTGGTCCACTAGT